CTCTCCATCCCATCCAGGCAGGCGCTTCATGGTGCTCCCCGCTGTGAGCTGCACAAACGTTTGTTGAGCAGCTGAATAAACAGGTAAGTGGGTGAGTGAATGGGGTGCAGCTCTCCCACCCCTGGACATTTGTTCCTCTGCTCCAGCTTTGGGTTCCCCACACCCCCAAGCACCCCCTCTCCAGCCCCTGAGGCCCAAATCCACAGGAAGTCCTCCTGCCTCCCACAGGTGCTGGGGCTCGCCTCAGGGCGCCCCCCACAAGGCCCTGCTCAGGGCGCCCCCCACAGCGCCCCTCTGGAGGGAGAGAGGGACGAATGCTTGGGGGAGTAGTGAGTGAGTGAGTGAAGGAATGAATGAATGAACACACATACACACGTAACTGGCCTTATGTAAGTTTCTTTCAGGGCAAAGCAACACCCTCCCCACCCCTCCAGGCAGGGCTGGGGGCTTGGACCCGGCCCGGAGAGGGAGAGAACCCGGGGGCCATGCCCAATCCGCGCAGGCCCCGTGGGCCAGCCGAGCAGAAGCCACGTGTCATTTCTGGCCCAAGCACCCTTTCCTACTTCAAAGGCGGAGGGAACTCTGTTGGGCAGATAATTTGCAGGGGGAACGTCCCATAAATCAGCAGGCTGTTGAGTTACCCAAACAAACACTGGAGGGGAGGAGGCCAGCCAGGGCAGGGCCAGGGGCCAGGCAGCAGCAGCCATGCCTGGGGGCCCCTCCTGCTCATCACCCTCTCATGGTGGCCCCCAAAATGTGGCAGGGTCCCACCAGAGAGACCTTGGCATGGGCCCCGATCTTACAATGGGACTGCCATGCCCTCGAAGGCACTGGAGCCGCCCTGTCCTCCCGCACACGCGGCCTAGGTTCTGCTCGAGGCTGTCCCCTCCTCCCAGCTTCTCTGGCCCTGGACCAAATGGTTCTGAAGCAGCTCATGTGTTGTTACTCAAAACACCGGCCTGTCTCCTCCCTCCCCCCAGATAGTTTCCCTGGGAGGAGGTGTGTGCACCGGGCGGGGGAGTTTTTTAATTAGCAGCATGCCATTCCCACCCCTGCCTCAGTGCTCGTGGTAAATATTTGCACGTCCACAGAACTTTATTAGCAGCCTCGGAGCTGGTGGGAAAACGCACAATCTCTCACTAGGGGCAGCGTGACTAATGACGCATCCAAATGAAGAACCGTAATTGCACTTAAATCCAAATTAAAATCCTGGTATTTGCCTGTCTGTGCCCTGGAAGAAAGAAACCCCCAGGTTTTCATCACTGAGGGGAAGAGAGCAGAAATGGCCTTGGGGCGGCTGGGCCTGCACCTCCGGGGTGGGGGTGAGGACAGGGACAGGGGCAGGGGGCACAGTGCTCCCCAGGGAGGACGCCTGCCGGCCAGCAGGCCCCCAGGCATGGAAAAGGATCTGACACCACAGCAGGAGCTGAGCGGGATTTCCTGAATCCTTAAAAGGGAAGGAAGTCACCCAGGGCTGCAAACACAGCACAGGCTCCCCTACCCCATCGACCAGGAGAGCGACTCAGGAGTCTGCGGGGCCTCCGTGTCCACTCTTAAGGACAAGGGCTCTGTCCAGGGCTGTCACCACAGGCCACCAGCCTCCCTGGGCCTCTACAAGGCTACGGCTCTGCCCCAGGCCCACCTCCCACCAGGGCTCCTGCTGGCAAAGCTGCAGGAACTCCCCTGGGCCATCGCTCCCCATACACCTGCGAGCACTGTCAGAACAGGCCATGGGGGGACTCCTGCCACATGGGGTTCTTGTGGGCAGGCCCCCTTTCGGGGTTCACTCAGGGGCGGCTGCTCTCACCTCTCCTTCCAGCCCCTGGAGGGACCGTCTGCTGCAGCAGGTCTGTGTTCAAGAAGCACCTACTGTGTGCTCTCCCGGAAAGGCAGCAGTGCCTGACTATGGGTGGGGGGCTCCAGGGTGAGCTCGGACACAGGGGCGCCCATCCACAGCCAGCAGCCTGCCCAAAGGTGACCACTCGGAACCCCAGACCCAGGAGCCCGGGCTGGTCTGTCTGCAGTGGCCAGCGGCAGTGCCCCTCAGAGGGGCCATCCCAAGTGACTCTGGACTGGTCCCCTGGCCCGCTGCCCTCCCGGCGCAGGGAGGGGTGGCCCAGGACTGGGCTCCAGGGACGCTTACCAGCCCTGCTTTCCAAAGCAGGGACGCCTCCCTGGCTGGCAGGGGTGCAGGGGGGAGCCCGGCACTGGGCCTGGAGACCTTGCTCAGGGACCTGGGCCAGCTGGCAGCCACTAACTCATGGGGCCTTGGCCAGCCCCTCCTCCCACCTTGCAGTTTGGGGTACCCACTGCAGAGTGGGGGTGACGCTGACTAGCGCTGCAACCTCACAAGCAGGGTGGGTCCAGTGAAAGTGGGTGAGAAGGGCCTGCATGGAGCGGTTCCCAGGAAGGGACAGGAGGGGACCAACAGGAGGGGACCCAGAGCACCACACAGCACTCAGAGCAGCCCCCACCCACCCCAAGCACCCCGCACACAAGGCCCCAGGCAGCTCTACCTGCAGCCTGCTCCCCGGGTGGGCGTGGGGGTGCGGAGGCTGGAAGGAGAGAGGAGCAGTGTCACCCAGCCCTCCCAGCCATGCCAACCGCCCCCTCACCTCTGCCCCCACCCTGGCCACCCATTAGCCCAAAGCCACCAGGACCTCAGCTTGGCTGGAGTGGTTTTCCCACACCAGGGTGGGGGTGGGGGTCCCCGAGGCACCTCACAGGAGCCCCGGCATTTCTTTTCATTTTGCGTGTGTGTGTTAATCCTCACCCGAGAATATTTTTCCCCATTGATTTTAGAGAGAGTGGAAGGGAGTAATCCTCACCCGAGAATACTTTTCCCCATTGATTTTAGAGAGAGTGGAAGGGAGAGTGAGAGACAGAGAGAAACATCAATGTGAGAGAGACACATCCATTGGTTGCCTCCTGCACACACCCCAACCGAGACTGGAGAACTTGCAACCGAGGTACCTGCCCTTGACGGGAATCGAACCCGGGGCCCTTCAGTCTGAGGGCCAACGCTCTATCTGCTGAGCCAAACTGGCCAGGGCAGCCCATGTATTTAAAACCCCAGATTTAACAAAGATTTGAACCCGACTCTGGCTGATAGTCCTGGGCGTGGCCTCTTGCTCTTTCGACTCTCACCCCACGTGCGGCTCACAGGGGACGCCGGGTAAGCCTCGGGCAAGGAGACAGGTGACATGACTAGTCTTCCCGCCCCTGTTGCTAGACTGACCATCTGCTCAGAAGCTGGAGAGAGCGGCTTTCCTCCCTGGCTGAGGAGGAGGCTGGACCAGTTCTGAGGTTCTAACACATTTAAAGAGACCACGTCGCCCATGACAAATGGGGTGAGGACGCGATGGCCAACCCCAAACACCAACCAGGTGGGGCAGGAATGGCCCCGAGCCTGTTGACAAAGGAAAATGTCACAGGAGACCCCGGCAAGCAGAGCTGCCGCTGCACAAATGCCACAGGGCCAGCATCTCAGAGGCCTGGGCGGGGAGCCCCCCACTCAGAAGGGCCAGTCCTGCTCAGGGAATCGGGGGACAGAACAGAGGCATCAGCGATGGGCTTAGAGGGTGGCGGACCAGTCCCCTCGCCCCCAGCCTGGATGGCTCAAAACTCAGACCAAGGACAGAGGAGCGGTTCCTTCGGGGATGGGAGGTCCAAGCCACCCGCCAGGTGGCACAGTCCGCCAGACCTTGAAGTACCCCAGGTCCTGGGACCAGGAGAAGGTGAGAAGGTGAGCCACTGCCCGAGGTACTCCCCAGGTGCGGGGGTTCCAGTCAGTGCGGTAAGCAATGTAGTGGCCTCACCACTATCCCCGTCTCATGGGCGAGGAAACCGAGGCACCAGCACATGCAGAACTGTGCCTAAGCCACAGGTGGTGGCAGCTGGCTCAGGGGTTCCTCCAGGACCAGGACCCAGAGCCGCTTTCTCACACCATCGGGCCAACAGCAGCACAGCGCAGGCTGAACTGTGTCGTCCCTCCCACCCCACCCCCTCCACCCCCATCAATTCACATGCTGATGTCCTAACCAGGACCTCAGAATGCGCCCTATTTGGAGATGGGTCTTCACAGAGGTGATCAAGTTAAGGTGAGGTCCTCTGGGTGGGCCCTACTCCAGTATGACTGGTGTTCTCATAAAGAGGAGAAACCAGGAAAGAGAGAGAGAGAGAGAGAGAGAGAGAGAGAGAGAGAGAGAGAGACACACACACAAGGGAGACGCTGTAGAGAGTGGTTCTCAACCTGTGGGTCGCGACCCCTTTGGGGGTCGAACGACCCTTTCACAGGGGTCGCCTAAGACCATCGGAAAACACATATATAATTACATACTGTTTTCGTGATTAATCACTATGCTTTAATTATGTTCAATTTGTAACAATGAAATTGGGACTCACCACAACATGAGGAACTGTATTAAAGGGTCGCGGCATTAAGAAGGTTGAGAACCACTGCTGTAGAGACACGGGGAGAAGATGGCCACCTACAAGCCAAGGAGCGAGGCCTGGGCCAGATCCTTCCCTCCGGCCCTCAGAAGGAATCATCCGGGCCTTGACCTTGGACTTCCGGCCCCCAGAACCGTGAGACATGGCATTCCCCTGGTTCAAACTACCCGGTGTGTGGTTCTTTGTTACGGCAGCCCTAGCACGCTAACACCATCACCCACGCCAGGAAATCTGCTCCACCCTGGCCTCAGTTTCCCCATCTGTGCTCGGGTCACTTCCACCCTGCGTGGCACGGCAGGATAGGGCCACTGGGGTCAGAAAGGGGGCAGGCAGGCAGGCTCTGGGCTGCTCAGTCCGGGCCTGGCAGGCTGCCTGCCCTCCCCCACGTGGCCGCCGGCCTGCCCCGGGTGACAGCGTTAAAAGCGGGCTCCTGGGCGCGCACAGGCTTCATTTATCAGCCCAGCAGGGGAGTGAACCGAGGGAACGAGGGAGCACAGGTCCCGGCATCCATTACAGCCCCCGCGGCCCAGCCCGACCGGGCGCAGAGAACCCGCAGGAAAAATAATAGCGTGTCCCGGGGCTGGCGATGAATCACGGCGGAGGAAGCAGCTGTGTTGATGAAATTTTAAAGCTGACGAGAGAAAGAAAATACGAACGGCAATACAGTCATTTAGCCTGTGAGCACTCTGGCACATTTTTAATTAAAGCTATTTCGGAGTTAAAGAGAGGCCATGGGGGGAGGGGGCGGGGCCGTGGGAAGTGGGAATCCACACAGGCTCCCTGCCCTCCCACCCAAACCCCAAAGCCACATCCCCTTAAGACAGATCGAAGAACGCTACTGCTTTCCCCGGCTCCGCACACCGGCCGATTCCTCACTGCAGATTCCCGTGCAATCTGAATTCAGTGACAGGACTTAAGGGCCAGAACCGTAAAATCTCACAAGCCAGCGCTCATGAGGCGGAGGCCAGAATCCACCCGCAGCGGCAGGCTCTTCAAGGTTCCCAAACATAGTCATCCACCATCACTTGATTACCTCCAGAGACATGCACTCACTACCTTATAAAGCAGCTCTCCCTTGGTGACGCGGACCTTCCCTATTCTGGGCAAACACCAGCCTCGCCTCTTGGCCTAGGACTCTGGGTGGCGGGCAGTGACTCAGTCCAGCTATGCTGAGCATCGAAGACACACATAATCACGCAGCCCCTGCAGCCCAGACCTTGAATAGATGACAGGCCAGCAGGGGTGGGGGCCAGGCTTCCCACAGGAGGGTCCCGAAAACCATCAGCAAGGGTGGGCAGCCCACGGGGCCGGAAGCTCAGGACGAGTGCCAAGCCACTTGGGGGTGGTTGGGAAGGCTGTTGGCAGGAGGCCACGCCTGAGTGGGGAGCCATGTCTTGCAGGAGGCCAGGAAGACGAAGGCTAAATAGATCCCATCTGCCCTGGACCCCCTTAGGATAAGGCCGGTACTCTCACCGTGGGCCAAGTCCTGTCCACGGGGCTCTCCCCACCTCTGCTGTCCTCCCAGAGCCCCCTCATACATGAGTCCTGCTGAGGGGGTCAAGGAGGTGGTCAGGCAGGGAAACAGTGAGACTGAACAGCGCTGGAGCTCCCTGAGGGCGGGGTGAGAATAAGCCAGGGATGGATACAAAGGGCAGAGAGGCTAGAGGGGTCAGCCAAGCCAGCTGGCCCCTGGGGCCCCAGCCAGGGCTGACCACAGCCTCCACCACTGGCCCTGCCCAGCAGGAAAGGCCCGTCCTGCTGGCCGGCAGGCCCCGCCCTGCCCTGCCACACTGCCCTGCCACGCCTCTCACCTGCTCTGCCCTCCCTGCCGAGTCTAATCCGCCAGCCCTGTGCTGGGGATGAGACGTGACTTCCCCTGTCTGGGGCACCGGCCAGCCCAGGAGGGGAGGGAATGACCCAGCTCTGAGAGGACTGCGTGTGGCAGGGCAGGGAGATTTCCATGTGGGTCTGAGTGAAGCGTGCCCGCCCACCTCTGGGGCCTGCATTCACCCATCTGCCAGGGGGCAAAGCAGCCCGTTTCCTCAGCAACTGTGTGTCACACCATCTCCGGGACAGGCCCTGGGTGGCCCCCGGGAGCTCGAAGTCCACTTGGGGACAGACGGAAGGACCCCAGAGGCGGTGGAGCATGGGTTAGGCGCCGGCGTCCCAAGGCCACTTGGGGCAGGAGTGGCCGGCCGGTGGGAGGGAGTCCAGGTAAGCTGGGTCAGGGTGGGCATGGGAGCGGTGGGTAAATGAGTAGGCGTGTCCCTGCGTCCTGCCCACAGCCACCTACCTGTGTGAGGAGCTTGTCACCCTCCAGCAGCTTCACCTTGGTCTCCAGCTGTCGGACGTAGGTGGCCGAGGGATCTGCAACACACAAGAGGGCACGTGAGCATCTGATTCTGTCTCCAGCGGGAGCACCGCCCGCCCCACGCCCTCAGCAGAAAGAAGGTGAGGGGTTCCCTCGCCAGCTTGTCCTGGCCGCTTCCTTCAGCCTCGGCAAGGCTTCGGGCCCCAAAACGTCCGCCCCACGCCCCTGACGGGACCCTCGCGCCCAGGGTCCAGGTGAGCAAACTGAGGCTCCAGAACATGCCAACTCAGCATCTGCTGCCCCGTGCCTGGGGCACAGAATTCTACAGACGGTGTGTGGAGTGGGCACACAGGGCCGTAAGCCTCCGCCTTCCCTGCGCCAGGCCCGCGATACACTCCCCAACCACACCCCCAGTTTCCGCACGCAGCGTGGGGTGAGATCCACCCTCCCTCGCCACACTGGCCCCTTGGCAATCATATCAGGAAAGCAGGCAGCAT